GCGCCAAACACGTCCAGGTTGAGCGCCAGCACGAGCAGCAGGGCGGGGACGTCCACCTGCAGCACGAGCAGCGCAGGTCGGGGACGACGACGCTGGGCATTGTACAGGGCGACAGCGGGCCGTGATCGTTTGTAACTTGAGTAACAGCTAGGGCACTTGTTGTCAGTTGAACGTTTGGTTAGACCCCTGATGGGCAACACGCTCGCGCCAGGGCGGCAGCTGGAGGTGCGCCGAGCTGGGCGAGCCGGAGCAGGCTGCCGACCTGGACGTCACCGACGTTCACCTCGAGACGACCGGGACGCGAGCAGCAGACGGCGGGGGCAACGAGGAGCGCCTGCCCCAGGGCTGCAGCTAGAGGTGCGCCGAGCTGGGCGAGCCGGAGCAGGCTGCCGACCTGCACGTCACCGACGTCCACCTCGAGACCGTGAACGCGAGGAGTAGTGGCGGGAGCGCCGAGGAGCGCCTGCCCCAGGGCTGCAGCTGGAGGTGCGCCGAGCTGGGCGAGCCGGAGCGGGCTGCCGACCTGCACGTCACCGACGTCAACCTCGAGACGAACCCAAGCAACAGGCGGCGGGGATGACGAGTAGGGCCAGCCCTAAGCTGCAGTTAGTTACACTGACAATGGCACCTTTTGGCAGCCTTGTCTATCCTGCTACCTGGTTTAACAATTGGTATTACAGCGTCTATGCGCCTCTGTGATTGCATCAAGCCTGATGACGCGAAGCGCAGCAGAAATCCGTGTGATTCTGGAGAATACTGTTGCACCGTTTGAAGACCAACGGCTCCTACAGTATTGCAAAGTAAGTTAGAGCACAAGCACTAATTTTTGTTTTACAAAAATATTTTGGTAAACCCCTATGAATTGTTGTTTTTTACCAGTCCAGTATTGAAGATATGTTGAAAAAAAGATTTGAACTGGATCGGGCTCTAGAACGGGAGGTGGAGATACTTAAACGGCTGTTTCCTGCACCCAATAATGGTTGGTATACTGTTGGTGACAAATCATAAAATGAATCCTATTGAGTGTAAGGAAAGGGATCAATTCAGTGTGCTATTTTAAATTCCAGGTACTTTCCAGTCGACAGGAGCCAGCAGCAGCTTCATGAGGACTGGCGTTGTCTCAAGGCGCCTCTACAAGAGCAAGCCGTACTACATACCACCAGTGAATACTACCGCCAGTCATAGAATGGGGTTTTGAGTTTATAACACAAGAGTGGTTCAATTACTAAAGCAATGAGTTAAAATTTCTGATCCCATATTTCATTTATTTAGCTAGCAAGCATCAAAACAACAGTAAAATAGTTGATGCATAAAATTTGTTAAATATTTGATCAACATTATGCAAAGTAACGAGAAAGCGGCCTGCTGGCACACTTTAGTTAACAACAAATATTATAATAATAATTCTCCTTGAGACCTATAGTAAAGGTTCACAAATATATGGTATATCATCAACTTTGACAAGAAACAGTATATCTCTGAGGCTTGAAATATGTACAGCATCAAATAATCCAGTAAGACAGTACTCTTTTATATGAGGCACATTTTTTGATGAAACCAGAAAGGGGCTAGCCTCTGCCTTTTCAATTATTGCAAAATGTTTGCAGGATTGATCACTAGATTTTACTTTAACAAATATGTCAATATCACCATAGAGGGTGCAATTGTCTCTAGCATATGAGCACACATACGAGATGGTTTTTAAGCACCGTGAATAAGATCTGCAAACAAACAACTGACGGCTTTTCTTTAATCTGAGATACGTTTCAATAGAAGTAGCCTTGTTTAAGTCCATAACCTTTTGCAAAGCAGAGAACACATAATTTCCTGTATTATTAAATATCTTGTACGTTCCAACAGAAAAAAGAGTTTCTTGAGATTCACTACTTAAGTCTTCCAATTTTTTTAATCTAAAACTTGGATGCAGAACCCTAAAACAGTAGTCTCTAACAGGACCAGAACTCAAAGAAGACAGTTTGTGAGGCAACTGAGAGATTAAATAACACCCACTGGCCAATTGGGTTTCAACATATCGGGTTCCATGAATCATCTTCAGTATTTCCCCATTCAGGCTTTCGTACGGAAAACAAGAGTAGAATTTCATGGGACCCAGGTTTGTTACAACAAAATCAAGATGCAAGAGCAGGTGTACTACCATGGACGTATGCCTTGTTCCATACAGAATTTCAAATTTTTTCACAAAGTCTTCTAATTTCTTTTGACACAAAAACAGTTGTTGAGGTGATATTGACGAAGATAGGAGAATTTGAAAACAGAAGATTAAGTCAACGTAATGCTCCAAATACTTGTCTGGCAGAATTCCATTTAATACTGGTATTGAGGTGTAATGAGCCCAAGTTTTGCATTCGTTGCCATTCCAATATGAGAATTCATCTTCAATACCTCGTATTCCCCGTTCTAGAAAGTTTGGTGGATGTATTGCCTCCAGACGTTCATCAACAACTTCCAAGTATTTACGAATAGAAAATGGCTCTCCATGATTTTTAGAATCAAACCAGAGTTTGATGAGTGTTTTAATTATCCCAAGGTACAGTGTATGGAGATCGTCAATTCCAAACCCTCTAATGGCATCGTACATCACTGAGAATAGGGCGCTAGGATGTTTAAAGCCAAGTACATGGAGTGAGAGGTCACCTTTTTCAACTAGTTGCTTTTGGGCTGCTTCTCCTAACTTGATACTTTCTTCATGTGATCTTAATTCTCTGTCTTTTTCATACTTAAAAACCCACACAGAAGAGTAAGTAACATCATCCTTTTCTTTCACTAATTCTAAGTCCATATCTGCAGTGTTTTCTTCTTGTTCTACAGCTTGATTTGGAGTCTTTTTCTTTTGAGACTTCTTTTTCACTTTTTTCTTGACTATTTTAACACTTTCTCCTTTGATTTTACAGATGTGACAACTGTTGGAACCAGAATGGGTCATCATTCCCATGAGCATAGCTTTGGCTGGTAAATCACTGGTTGCTGCTAAGAGGATACCCTTAGCTATTGATGTTACATTTTTTCCATATGGTTTTACCTCAAAACCCTGTTTAATTTTTTGAAGTGAAGGCACTAGCTTCCCAAGAATAATATTCACCATGGGTTTACCTCCAAACCACAGGCCTCCCATAATAGTAAACTCTTTCTTGAATCGGAGGTGTGGAGGGAGTTCCATTACATTAAAAAATACAGGCCACAATGACTTCTTGGAGGATTTGAAAACTGGAACACCATCTGCATTGACCATCATTGTAAAATTAAGTAAATTGTTTTTGGAGATGAATCCATCCTCAACCAGTTCTTTGTACAATTGGCCATCAAAGATATCTTCTATGTTTTCTTCATTCAACTTTTTTCTATCATATCTGTAAGACAAGTTTAAACAAAACTCCTCTTGAGAAAAGAATCCTTGAAGCTGAGAGATGATAGGTACTTCAATGAAATAAGAAATGTCCGATTTCTTAGGGTGAAGTTTCAAGTTGGGACATTGTAAATTGTTCCCCTTCTTCAATTCTGTTAAACAGCTCGAGCAGAAATAGTGATAAATAACTGGAGATTTTAAAATAGAAAAGTACTTTTTGAACAAGTACAGAGAAGTCTTGACATTATTATTTTCTTCTTTACAGTGAAGGTTTATCAAACCAAGTAAGTCCACAATCTCACTTCCATCAAGTTCATGCTTTATAACATAAGTCAAAATTGCTGTCATGCTTTCACTGACTGATAATGGAGCCCCTTCATAGATTTTAGGATCCTCAGTATCAAATGTTATAGAATCATTTTCATCATCAGATGAATAGATCACCTCTGGAGCAGTAGCCTTCCCTGAAATAAATATTTCAATATAATCTTTATTTGAATATGACAAAATAATTCAGAATGAAAAAAAAAAAAAACAATAACAACAGTATGCTTACACTCTAGACCACCACCATCATCATCAGAGCTAGTGTCATCAGAATCATCAAGTCTTGAAATATTTGCAAGATTGACAGCTTCAGTATCTTGCGTGTCATCTAAGAAGAGGATTAAAAATAAGATTATGAATTTGAGCAAGCTTTTACATATTAATAAGATGCTAATGAAAACTACATAGCAGCAAATCAAACAATAAGCATACTGTTTACACAGAACCGCTCACCAAATAGATTGTTCGGTACTGTAGCTGATTTATATGCAAAACTTGTGTCTCCCTTAAACTCAAAGCTAGTGCTGGGTAATCTTAAAATGGATTTGTCAGCTACTGAAAAGAAGAAGAGGACATTTAGTAGGTCTTGGATCAGTCCACAACTCCGGACTTATTTAGTGTTGTAAGGCTGCTATCAAACCACAGAGTTATTTCTTTTTTTAATTCAAATTTAAAAAGATTACTTTGTTTCTTTTTACCAGAACAAAACGTACCACTTAGAACAGAACTAATGTTTAGTTCGAGAAAGTTTGAATCCCCATCTGCAAAGAGGTAAATTATTTTAATGTGAGTGAGATCATAAGCAGAAAAAAACATACAGTAGTTTATTTGAACAAGGCTTTTATTGCTTATACCCTTTGCACAAGTCAAGGGCATTCTTATCTGCTATACGCTCACCTGCTTGGTCCTCAACACGAAAAGAGTCGTGCTGGATTGTTTCATTTGCAGCCTCGTCATTGCTGTCATCAGATAGTTTATCTGCTTGGAGATTGCTGTCGTCTGGTAGTTGATCTGCTTGGAGATTGCTGTCGTCAGATAGTTGATCTGCTTGGAGAGAAAGTAATCAGTTTTAATAGAAGACAACAACAAATATTACAGTGTCTCTCTTTTGTGTAATTTTTATTTACCCTTCATTTGAATGATACTTGTTGATGAGTCTGAGTCGGACCCAACATCAGTTAACGCATCATCATTCCTCGAAAAACCTGAACACATTAGGTGGTTATTTGTTGCACATTCTGTCATAGGTACTTATCAAATTGATCAATCACATAGTAGATATTTCTTGGCAAAACTTAACCTTCTGGAGAAGAAACTATTTGCTCAGGTGGACTACATGGAAGATGATCAGACAAATTTGAACACATTTCATCATCACTACTGTCGTCGTCCTTCGGAATACAAGTCCTTCGCCTTTTTCGATTTGACATTATGACAGTTACTGAAAGGAACCTCTGAAAACAATGCGAACGAAAAGTAACCGAAGCTGAGCAGGCAGGAGGCTGCTGAGACAAACTGCTGATAGAATTAAACTACATTTTCGGCCGGATGTCACTTGCCGACAGTCAAAGCAGCACCTTTCAGTGCAGAGAAGAAAATTTTAAAAGAAAGAAGGAAAATTACAATTTTTTAAAGAACTAAAAATATAAAAGTGTCCTGTTTGCTATTGATGAGAGCTTTCATTTAGACTTTGACTAAAAATAAACACTTCTGCTAGTTTTCATCTATCTGTATGCCTTACGGTGCACAGCCTGCTCACATCACAACATACCACATAGTATTTCTAAAGTTCGTAGATGTCTCTGCTACACCAACAATATGTGCATAAAAGTCGTGCTCAATTTTTATTTCAACAGGATCTTATGCACAAAAGATTTCTACCATGAGTTCTTTCAGTGAAAATCTTATACTCATAACCGATACTTTTGGGGTTTTGTACGTTGGCAACATAGACAGTTGACAAACGACGCCCCGGAGTCTTGCGGTGCGCGCTCTTTCCCGACAACCTCGTAGCATGACCGAGCGTGTGTGAACCTGTCTCTACCTCTAGATCTTTCAACCGCCGTTCCATCGTACAACAGTTTGGCCGTTGTAGCTGTATGGTTATTACCCGAGACGACCTTAAGAAAGCAGGTGAGGAAATTTGAATGTGTACAACCTTGTTTCCGTTATGAGTTTATACTTAAAGTAGGAGACATTTTTTCTTTCGTTTGCGGCTGCTCGTTCGAGTGGTTTCTATTTCTAACGGTCGGTTTGTTTTGAAAAGTTTGATTTCCAACCAAGTTTACTTTTATATTGATCAAAACCTTCAAAATATACTGTGAACTTGTTTGTGGTGGGGTTATCCTCTAACTTTGCCGTTACCAAGACCGCGCAATAGGCTTGTAGAGTGAAGTGTTCATTCCCATTTAATAATCAACAATTGAATAGTTCCTTTGGAATCTCATCTCCCCTGTTTCTACTTGGTCTCTGACTTGAAGTGGCTGTTGCTCTGTCCCAAAATGCCAATTAATCCTGGATACAAAGTACTACAGCCTAGATCAATCAAAGGTTTTACTTTCTTCTCCCCCTCTCATTGCCTATGTTAACTCCTATGCTGCCCTTGCTTTGAGAAGTACAACCTCGCTCTAGAAGGTTCATGAGAGTTTTGTTTCAGGTATGGCGAGAAGTTCCAAGAAAGCTGCAGGAACAGAACATGCCGATGTGGCTGGTGGCGGGCCTACCCATTCTAGATCACGTAAACCTCCTGCCTCTAACCAAATGGTACGACTTGACCGGCTGACTACCCAGGAATTTGACAATATATTAGGAGAAGCTTCTCATCCAGACGTAGTTCAAGATAAAAAGAAGATTTCTCAAGAGAAGAAAACAGAAGCAAATTTAAAACTTCAATCACTGTGCGCGCTGAATCAGCAAGTAATTGACAATAATTCTTCTCAAGAAAATGCCACGCAGCAAGGGAATGAAGTAGAGGGTAGTGACTCATTATTGGAAAAAACTCTACCACTGGAAGGTGACACTCTATCTGATAAAGCAAGTGAGATCTCAAATAATGTACAAGATGGAATACCCAACAAAAATCTTGAGGCACCACCCAGTGCTCCTCCCTTGCCTGACAGCAACAAACCACCAACTATTTGCAAGACGACAGTTGATGTTGAAGTTCAAACTAATCCGGTTCTGCTCGGGTGCGGTTGCAATAGATGCAAAGGTACTGTAATTTCCTCTCATTCTTGATTGTACTTTTAACTTTTTCTTATTTGAATATAAGCTTTTATCTATCTGTATATAACATTGTTTGTTGTCACTTCAACTCGCTGTAATTTAAAATGTTGCTCAGAAATTGATCCTCAGTTCTGTAAACTAATTTCTGCCCCTTATGATTCATATTTCCAGTAATATTTGATGGCGTACTTGAGCTTCTCAATATAGCTCAAAATAGTGATTGTAAGGTTTTCCCCTCTGAGGTTTGTCAGCCACCACATAAAGTTTGAACTACTATTGTAAATTTGGTTCTGGTTTGATACCTTTTGTTTTGTTTCATAGGTTACACCCCAAGTTCTTCAAGCAGTGAGTGGTTCAGCTTTGAATGCAATTGAAAAGGTAAGTTTTTCTGCAAATTAGAACCTAAACTGTTTATTGAAGGGTACCTGGAACATATTTAAAAGTAATGAATTATTTTATTTCACAGCGTAATGTACCATTGTATTCAGGCAGCACCATACTACTTACAGCGACTGACAAGAGTATGCTGAAAGATTTAAACTCCGAGGATGATCCAAGAGAGTGCATCAGCCTGATTATGGACAACTTATACAAGCCATCAGAAATGGCTCAAATGACAGCCTGTGGAAGAACCAAAGGATCTATACCTATGGCTAAAACTTATTTCAAACAAATTCTAGGTATGTTGCATTTACTTCTATACTACTTGCTTTCTTTTTTGCCTCTCAATTTCCTAAAGTATCTATTTTTGAGAGCCTCTTTTGTGTAAGAGTACTGAGTGCTGAACATTGCTTTTTACTACTACATAAAAGTTATAACAAGCAGCAAGGACAAGGGAAGTTCTTACCCATAATATTTTGAGATAAAATTAAAACATTGCAAATTATATGTACGGCCAACTTACCCACTGTTCTTACACAAACTAGGTTTTACAAAAAAAGAATTTTTTAAAAGATAAAAACATTGTTTTATCTTTGGTTAAAAATTTAACTTTGAAATGTTTCAAACTATGAGATAAATATTTTGTTAGCGCATGAGGTTGATTCTACACCAATTATTTTTTATTTCCAGCATATCTTAGGCACAAGTACCGAGCTCTCAAAGGCACTGAAAATGAAATCACCAGGTCAGTTGTTGTTGGCTTAATTAATGGAAAGTGCTACTCGTCACGGAGACAGATTTGGGATAGGATTAAGAAAAACCCTTCTGATCTGGACCTGGCATCCGCTGTTAGAAACCCTTTGCAGAAGAAAAGAAGAGACCCCAACAAACCTAGCAAGAATCAAGAAGTTAAGAAGAAAGTGAAGAAGAATAAGAAGTTTGAAGAGCGTGATATGTCAGAGCCAGCTAAGTCATCGGACGATACTCCCCAGAAGAGTAGGCAAAGCAATAAGTCAAGTAACGATCAGTCCCTGAAAAGAAAAGAAAATTCAAAGGAAGAAAGGCAATCTAGGGAAGAAAGGCATTCGAGGGAAGAAAGGCATTCGAGGGAAGAAAGGAATTCGAGGGAAGATAGGCATTCTAAGGATGAAAGGCGTTCAAGGGAAGATAAGAATTCAAAGGAAGAGAGGCACGGAGAGAAATCTCACAGCAGGCAGTTGGAGAGAGATGATGGTGGCTATGCTCATAAAAGACTGAAATTGAAAGACTCTTTCTCATCCAGCAGCAAGAACAATGATATTAATAAGAAAGTGTTTTTCCGATCTGATGCGTCAAAGCACTTTCCCCAATGCATTTCTCCTCGCAAGAAATCTCCCAGAAAGCCCTCTGGGCCTACTCGTGTCAAGGTAATCAGCCAACCCAGTTTCTCTGACGAGTCCCCAATTAAGAAGCGTGGAGGAGGCTCATCAAGTCCTTTTGAAACGTCTACTCCCAAGTTTGGCTTTAAAAGGCCCAAGACATTAGAGGTAAGCATATATCACTATCAATAACTACTACATTTTTTGCAAGACAGTCTTACCTTTGCATTTATTTACTGGTGAATTATATTAACTTCTTTTATTCTTTGCAGGAGCTGGTGAACCAGGATTATGATAGTAGTGATTCTGCCACCGATAATGATGGTACCCAGAAAGGTCTTGGAAGCAGCACTGACCATCACTATGAATCTGACGAATCTGATTCAGGATCAGATAGAACACTTGTTACTGACTGACTTCTTAAGTTTTATCTATCCAAAGTTTTAAAATTAATAATTACTCATTTTCACTATTCAAAGAATTTTTAATGTCAATTTTGAGTTGCTTTTTTTTTGTCAGTGTTTATATTCAACATTTAACTTGTTACAAAGAATATTCAATATCACTACTTTAAATATTTGTAATTTCTTGTTCTTTTTACGTCTAAATACTTTGACTGGCATCAAAGAATTGTTTGACTATGACAATTTTTAGTTTCTACTTTTATGCTTTTCTATTTGGCATCAAAGAATTGTTTGACAATTTGCCGATATGACAATTTTTAGTTTCTATATATTTGCTTTCCTATTCACATTTAAAAGTATTATAAAGATTAAGGTTTACTCCCACATTGTTGTTTTACATTGGGCCACATAGGAGAAATGTACTGTACTTCTTGGTTTTGCTTAGTAAAATCTTGAATCTTTATTTTTGAATTTTGCAAGTTGGTTGTTACAACTCTAGATGGTCTCTTCTCCCAATTTTACATTATACAAAAAAAATGAAAC